ATGCTACTTTTGAGGTATAAATAAAAAGCACGTATTGACCATCTATCTTGGTAAATGCGAACAAAGACTAACATGTGTGCCAATATTGTTCAACCAAGGAGCCAAATTGTGCAAAAGGTTTTCATGCTCTGAGATTCTGTATCGTATCATTCCATAATGAGGATTATATATAACAAGATTTAAACATATTTAGTAGAAACTTCTAATTTATAGGATCGATGTCGTTTCTCGTATTAAAAACAATTATTGTATATCTTGGAACTCGTATCATTTATGTAATCAAAGTGGACAATCACAACCAAGAATCATAGCAGGAGGAGCAAATGCGAATCGTGGGGACAGAAGTACAAACACTCACCCAGAAAAGATATTGATTAGATGCTGCCACTGTGATTAAGGCCTGGAAAAAACTTTGCTACATCATATATTGTGCGTATTTTTAATTAAAACGTATTCAATTTTTTTTTACATGTTTTTGAAATAATATATAGCAATTTGGTAAAATTATGTGCTCTAAATTTTCAGAAACGTTTGAGCATATCGCATGAGTTTTTGAATCAGGAAAATCATGTTAAAGCAGCTGAACGATCACTACATTATCATGATGAGCCACTGGTACAAAAGAAATTCACAAGTGGCAGCTTGAAGTCGCTCGTAGTTATTTGTGACTTTAACACAAATATAGTGTTCTGTGTACTGTGAAGTACAGTTTCAACTTCAAGCTCGCTGTACAAGTCCTTGGGAGAAAGCGACAGAAAAGGGCAATTTAATATATCTTTGGGCTGGTTTTTTGACGACATAAGTGTGTGGAGAGGTGACAGCCTGGCTTGCAAAGGGTATTCGTGTTACATGTTCAAAAATCACAGCCTGAACCTCAGGCTGCCCCACATGAAATAAGGAACGAAGTGGTATTGTATGAAAGAAAAACGGAAAACGCTGCCTCAAGAACACCCCAGTAGAACAGCACATAAGGAACCCCAAAAGACACCCCAACGAGATACCCCCAACGAGACACCCCAACGAGACACCCCAACGAGACACCCCAACAATACGCCCCATCTAACCAAACCCCCCACCCCCCTCACCTAAACCCACCCTCTAAACCCGCATGTCCACCAAATAGGGCGCATCCGCCCACGGAGCATCCCATCCCATCTCCTCCTCAAAATCCTCCCGCTCCACCGAAACAGCCTCTGGGCCTCTCATCATCGACGCCGCGCGCAACAAGATCACACGCGCCTGAGCCCGCTGCAAAGCCACACCTATGGCCGCTTTAAGTGATCCAAGCAAGTAAGCCGAGAAACCTTTCCCCGTAGCTCTCGCCGCCCCTTTCGTCTTCGCTACCTCAATCTGCGCGTCGCCCTGTTTCTTAAGCCACCGCCCAAAACTCCCCCCCAGGCAACCCCATGTCTCAGCAATGAGAGGTGTAAACTGCACTCCCCTATGTCGCTGCAGAAGCAATTTGTAGTCCGCCGCCTTCCGCTTTTCCCTCTCTCTAGCGGCAAAACCCACCTTGCGACCAATCTGTCCATGGTGCTGCGCGGACAACGAGATAGGGTCCACCACACTAACCTCCAGCGCATGCTCCTCCCCCTCCCTCAGTCTCCGCACCGCCACATCCACCCTCTTCCTTGGCAGCAACGTGTCGTCTTCCATGGTCACGACCCCACCCGCCCCTTTAGCTATCTTCGCCACCACAAACTTAACCGCGTCGTGAACACGAGAAGGTGCGTACTGGTACTTGCAGCGAAGGGCATGATGCGGGTCAGAGGGATCAGCAAACTCAAACCCACACGCGCACTTGCCGGCGACTATCAGCTGCTGTATGGGGAGGCCTAGGCGCATGGACGCACAGATGCTCCACTCGGCTGCGGTGAAGGTAGCCTCTTCGTGCGAAGGGACGGCGGAGACCCACGCCCCTGCCCCCGGGCCCTGAAGGGATGTCAAACGGACCATGGTGGCGTCGTCGTGGGCCATACCCCGAAGAGTCTGCAGACTCTCAACCGCTAGGCGACGGTGTTGTGTGGGGAAAAGCAGCACAGGGGGGTCAGCGGTGCATAAGGCTAGGGGTGGCATCTCCTGCCTGACCGACTGTGGCAGCAGCTCCACTGCTCTCGCAAACCAAGGATCCAGCAAGGTCGTAGCCTCGGGCGTGCGGAAAAACTCCTCAAACATCCGTTCCTCCCCTGCCACCCCCATCCGAGCCACATCGCTCACTGCCTGGCACCAACCACATGCGTACGACAGAGGGCTAAGGTCAGCTGCAGATCGAATGCCAAACCCTCCAAGTCTGGCTGGAAGGTGCAGCTGTAGACGGGCCATCTGCGACCTTGCCGAATCATGATCCCAGGTGCTATCTGGAAACAGCTGCTCAAAACAATCCTCAAGCTTCGTGTCCCAGTCGCGGAAAGCCTCCACAACCTCAGGCCGTGGAGGCATCGTCCTTGTGAGGTAAATCGGGCGCGCTGACACTGCGATCGCCAGCAGATGGGACGCAATCTGTGGGTGGTCGAGCAAAGGAAGCCAAGGGACAGGTGCATGCAGCTGCATCAGCCGGCCTCGCAAGCTGGCCACCTCCCACTCCTCCTCCCCAATAGGAACCCCCACTACGGTGAGCCCCGTCCATGTTTGCTGCATGCCGGGCGGGACGGTCTCGTTCCTCTCCTCTCCCTCCTGGTCCACCCCTCGCTCCCAAAGCTTGCACTTATGCGGCTGCACCTCCAAACCAAGCCCGCCCAGTCGTTCCCGCAAGACCTCATAAGCTGCTAGCACCCGCTCCCTAGGCCCCAAGATGTACGTATCATCGGCGTAGCTGAGAAAGAGTAGGTCGGCGAATTCTTGTTTGGTGGGCTCCATAACCAGCTGCTGTGTGAACGCGAACAGAAACGGCCCCAATGGGTCCCCTTGCCTCGATCCTCGCTCTGAAGCCAAAGCTTCGACGAAAGGGCCCGCACGGAGGTAGAGGTCGCTAGGAGTGCCGTAGAAGACACGCAGGAATGGGATCAAACCCGCAAAATGCGACTGTCGAAGTCCTTCAAACATTTCCCGCCGATGGAAGGAGTTGAAAGCATTCGCCACATCAATTTGAAGCGCGCACCATGACGGGTGAGTAGAGATGGCAGAACGAAAGGCATGTGCGAGGACTTCCACTCCCGACCTGGATCCGACTCCTAGCTGGTTACACGGCGCAAAGTGCGACATCATCTTCGGCCGTAGCACGATGCATAGGGCCCGAGATAGTATGCGGGGGAGCACCTCGCCTATAGCCACCGGGCGAACGTCACCATTCGGCTTCGACAGGCCCACAAGGTTGAACGCAGTGAGCCAGGGTCGCACGCGCTCCGCTACCTCTCCCTTGGTCCACTGGGTGAAGACTCCTAGCAGGTGAGGCAGGTATACGGGCTCAGAGAGAAAAGTGTCGCGCAGGTGCTCCGTCACCCACCCCGACGGTCCTGGTGCCGACGCCCTAGCCGCAGAGTGGATCGCCTGACCAAGTACCTCCACTGAGAGCTGCGGGATAAGGGAAGGCTCAACTATCTCCTCCTGCAACCACTCCGGAATGGCGGTCTCGCTCGATGGGTGTTTCGCTCGCAGCGCGTCCACCATGTGCTGAGAGGGCTGAGCGATGCTACCGGCAGTAAGACACGCCAAACCCCGACTCCATTCTCCCACTTTGCACCTTGTGCGGCAGCGAGCCAGGCGCACCGCATCAGGATCATGCTCGGGGGGGGTGAAGGACAAAGGACGCGCCGCAGGTTGCATTACCGCCACCGCCAACTCAAACAGCTCCCGCCACTCCCCGACCCAAAACTTCTCCAACCGCTCCCTGATTGCCGCCCTATGCCCCTGGCCTTGCCCAGTTGGCATCCCCAAGATAAGACGAGGGAAGGCCAAAAAGACCAAGGACGCCGCCTCGTCTGCTGCCTTTAACTGTAGCCGCTTCAGGACACAAGACAGTGCATCAAGCACCCCCAATCTAGCGCGTTGTGGGATACGACGCATGATTCTCCCTGGCACCAATTCGATCCCAAAAAACGACTCCCAGTCCCATGTAGGAACTGCGGCCCATACCTCTTCACTGATATCACGTGGTGGCGGGGGTTCGCCGTCCGAGTCATCTGTGACGTCGCGGGTCAACCCAAGCGCCTGAGCACGACGCTGGGCGTCCGCTGCCCTGCAGGCCGACATATGGCGTGTGGCCTTTCCTCTCTCCGTGAACGTGCGATAACAGGTTTCGCATGGAATGCGGGGCGGGGGTGTCAATGTAGGGTCTGGGTGCTCCTCTCCACTCGAACACGCCGGCAAGACCCTCCTGCTAGACTCCGTCTCCATGCCCCCCTCTAACGGCCTTGCAAGCTCCATCCCTCCGCACTGCAGCTGCTGCTGCCCTCCGCTCTGCAACTGCTGCTGCCCTTCGCTCTGCAATTGCCGTTGCCCTCCGCTCTGCAGCTCCTGCTGCCCTCCGCTCTGCAGCTGCTGCTGCCCTCCGCTCTGCAGCTGCTGCTGCCCTCCGATCTGCAGCTGCTGCTGCCCTCCGCTCTGCAGCTGCTGCTGCCCTCCGCTCTGCAGCTGCTGCTGCCCTCCGCTCTGCAGCTCCCGCTGCCCTCCGCTCGGCAGCTGCTGCTGCCCTCCGCTCTGCAGCTGCTGCTGCCCCTCCGCTCTGCAGCTGCTGCTGCCCTCCGCTCTGCAGCTCCTGCTGCCCTCCGCTCTGCAGCTGCTGCTGCCCTCCGCTCTGCAGCTGCTGCTGCCCTCCGCTCGGCAGCTGGTGCCCTCCGCTCTGCAGCTGCTGCTGCCCTCCGCTCGGCAGCTGCTGCTGCCCTCCGATCTGCAGCTGCAGCTGCCCTCCGCTCGGCAACTGCTGCTGCCCTCCGCTCTGCAGCTGCTGCTGCTCTCCGCTCGGCAGCTGCTGCTGCCCTCCGCTCTGCAGCTGCTGCAGTTTGGTTGCCCGTCGCCTCCGGCCCCGGCCCCGCGCTCGGGGCCTTTCCGCTTGGTCCGGGGAATCAGGGCTGGCATTCTCCCCCTCCATGGGGCTTGATTCCAGCTCATCGGTGCAAGCCTCGTCCGCCATCTCCACATCCAACACCCAAACCGGCTCTTGCTGCCCTCCGCTCTGCAGCTGCTGCTGCCCTCCGCTCTGCAGCTCCCGCTGCCCTCCACTCGGCAGCTGCTGCTGCCCTCCGCTCTGCAGCTGCTGCTGCCCTCCGCTCTGCAGCTGCTGCTGCCCTCCGCTCTGCAGCTCCTGCTGCCCTTCGCTCTGCAGCTCCTGCTGCCCTCCGCTCGGCAGCTCCTGCTGCCCTCCGCTCTGCAGCTGCTGCTGCCCTTCGCTCGGCAGCTGCTGCTGCCCTCCGCTCGGCAGCTGCTGTTGCCCTCCGCTCTGCAGCTCCTGCTGCCCTCCGCTCTGCAGCTCCTGCTGCCCTCCGCTCTGCAGCTCCTGCTGCCCTCCGCTCTGCAGCTCCTGCTGCCCTCCGCTCTGCAGCTGCTGCTGCCCTCCGCTCGGCAGCTGCTGCTGCCCTCCGCTCGGCAGCTGCTGCTGCCCTCCGCTCTGCAGCTGCTGCTGCCCTCCGCTCGGCAGCTGCTGCTGCCCTCCGCTCTGCAGCTGCTGCTGCCCTCCGCTCGGCAGCTGCTGCTGCCCTCCGCTCTGCAGCTGCTGCTGCCCTCCGCTCTGCAGCTGCTGCTGCCCTCCGCTCGGCAGCTGCTGCTGCCCTCCGCTCTGCAGCTGCTGCAGTTTGGTTGCCCGTCGCCTCCGGCCCCGGCCCCGCGCTCGGGGCCTTTCCGCTTGGTCCGGGGAATCAGGGTTGGCATCCTCCCCCTCCATTGGGCTTGATTCCAGCTCATCGGTGCAAGCCTCGTTCGCCATCTCCACATCCAACACCCAAACCGGCTCTTGCTGCCCTCCGCTCCGCAGCTGCTGCTGCCCTCCGCTCTGCAGCTCCCGCTGCCCTCCGCTCGGCAGCTGCTGCTGCCCTCCGCTCTGCAGCTGCTGCTGCCCTCCGCTCTGCAGCTGCTGCTGCCCTCCGCTCTGCAGCTCCTGCTGCCCTTCGCTCTGCAGCTCCTGCTGCCCTCCGCTCTGCAGCTGCCGCTGCCCTCCACTCGGCAGCTGCCGCTGCCCTCCGCTCGGCAGCTCCTGCTGCCCTCCGCTCTGCAGCTGCTGCTGCCCTCCGCTCGGCAGCTGCTGTTGCCCTCCGCTCTGCAGCTCCTGCTGCCCTCCGCTCTGCAGCACCTGCTGCCCTCCGCTCTGCAGCTCCTGCTGCCCTCCGCTCTGCAGCTCCTGCTGCCCTCCGCTCTGCAGCTCCTGCTGCCCTCCGCTCTGCAGCTGCTGCTGCCCTCCGCTCGGCAGCTGCTGCTGCCCTCCGCTCGGCAGCTGCTGCTGCCCTCCGCTCTGCAGCTGCTGCTGCCCTCCGCTCGGCAGCTGCTGCTGCCCTCCGCTCTGCAGCTGCTGCTGCCCTCCGCTCGGCAGCTGCTGCTGCCCTCCGCTCTGCAGCTGCTGCTGCCCTCCGCTCGGCAGCTGCTGCTGCCCTCCGCTCTGCAGCTGCTGCTGCCCTCCGCTCGGCAGCTGCTGCTGCCCTCCGCTCTGCAGCTGCTGCAGTTTGGTTGCCCGTCGCCTCCGGCCCCGGCCCCGCGCTCGGGGCCTTTCCGCTTGGTCCGGGGAATCAGGGTTGGCATTCTCCCCCTCCATGGGGCTTGATTCCAGCTCATCGGTGCAAGCCTCGTCCGCCATCTCCACATCCAACACCCAAACGGGCTCTTGCTGCCCTCCGCTCTGCAGCTGCTGCTGCCCTCCGCTCTGCAGCTCCCGCTGCCCTCCACTCGGCAGCTGCTGCTGCCCTCCGCTCTGCAGCTGCTGCTGCCCTCCGCTCTGCAGCTGCTGCTGCCCTCCGCTCTGCAGCTCCTGCTGCCCTTCGCTCTGCAGCTCCTGCTGCCCTCCGCTCTGCAGCTGCCGCTGCCCTCCACTCGGCAGCTGCCGCTGCCCTCCGCTCGGCAGCTCCTGCTGCCCTCCGCTCTGCAGCTGCTGCTGCCCTCCGCTCGGCAGCTGCTGTTGCCCTCCGCTCTGCAGCTCCTGCTGCCCTCCGCTCTGCAGCTCCTGCTGCCCTCCGCTCTGCAGCTCCTGCTGCCCTCCGCTCTGCAGCTCCTGCTGCCCTCCGCTCTGCAGCTCCTGCTGCCCTCCGCTCTGCAGCTGCTGCTGCCCTCCGCTCGGCAGCTGCTGCTGCCCTCCGCTCGGCAGCTGCTGCTGCCCTCCGGTCTGCAGCTGCTGCTGCCCTCCGCTCGGCAGCTGCTGCTGCCCTCCGCTCTGCAGCTGCTGCTGCCCTCCGCTCGGCAGCTGCTGCTGCCCTCCGCTCTGCAGCTGCTCCGTATGGAAACTGATACGCTGGGGCGACGGGCAGACCCTCTTCGACGACCCGCTCGAGGCGCGACAACGGTGATCTGGGTCGCACGCAAACCGGTTTGACGGCTAAACGAGCCCTCCTCGTCACCGCCAGCCGATTTCCCCTCGTCATCAGTTGAGCATCTTCAGTACCAGCTCATCCGACCACTCATCAATACTTCAAATTGTACAGAACCATTAAGAATCAGGATCGTATGTAGTACCAACTAATATAACTTACTAGAAATTGTATTCATTTAAGTCAGCCCGCTAGGCCTTAGTGGATCCACTGAGTACACCAACTCAGGGCAAGCGCAGAACACACACCCATACCTTCGTTGCCTTGGAATTGAGACATCTCAAAACCAACATTTTATCACAAACCCTCGTATCCAATAGAATTGCTAAGCCTTAGAGGATCCACTCAAGCCACCTTTTCTTGGCAAGCGCAGCACCCTAGCCCACCTCTGTCTTGCCTTGGAATCCACCTGTCCGGCTTCCATCGCGGATATAGACCGAGGAACAAGCCTCGACATACCCGAACCTGCGTCCAAACCTACTTCCGAGCCTGATTCTGGCCCAGGAGGAAGGCTCTGAAGCATTGATCTTTGCACCCCCAACTCACACCCTTCGTTTGCAAGCATCCCCTCTTCCTCCACCCCAGCCCCTTCCCCTCCTGCCACAGCCTCCTCTCCCAGCCTCTTTCGATATTCCTTACAAACAACCTCTGCTTCTTGCCTTCCTATCGCACCCTCTCGTGTCCCCACTCCAGTTTCCCCACCCTGATTAGAATGCGCCCCTTTGCTTGAACCTAACTCCGTTTCTCCGGCCGCCACACCAATCCGCTTGGATGGGCTGAAAAAGAGAGCAGGGGCGAGGGTGAGGTTCCTGAGCCGTGAGCGTGAGAAGGAGCGAGTGAGAGAGGCGAGGAACTTGCGACCTGGCGAAGGGGAGGGGGAGGGGGCTGAAGAGGAGGAGGAGTGCGGGAGGGCGTGGGGGGAAGAGACGATCGGTGCGCTGTGGTCGATGAAAATTGTATCGGATAAAACAGGAAGGGATTTGGTTGCAGGGATGAAGGATGTGAGGGGGGATGCGGATGGGGAGGACAAGGAGAGGAGGAGGGGATCTGGGAGTTCTGATTTAACAGCAGCAGCACCAGTGGCAGAAACTGAAGCATCCGCTGTAGCAGTAGCAGCAGCGGGCGCCGCAGCAGCAGCAGCATTAGCATCAACAGGAGAAACTGTAACAGCTTCTGTAGCAGCAGCAGCATCGGTCCTATGGGGGAACCCAACATCATTGCCAGCAGCACATGACACCCTGTTACAACCTGAGGCCCTAGCAGCAGCGGTAGTGGCAGCACCACCACCACCACCACCAGCACCACCAGTGGTACCAGCAGCAGCAGCACTATCACAGGCAGGAGCACATGGTGCAAGTTTTCCCTCACCAGCCATTCTTCCTACAGCCATCCTCCCATCACCATCATCAGCATCATCAGCAGGAGCATAATCCGCACAGTCAGCAGCAGTGACGGTAATAGAACCGAAGTCAGCATCCGAAACCCCATCACAGCCACCCCAAGCCTCAGCTTCAGGCTCAGAATCAAGCTCGGCGTCAAACCCACCATCAAGCTCATCATCGGACTTGGCATTAGGCTCGGCATCAGGCTCGGTGTCAGGCCCGGCAGAGTAACTGCTGGGGCAGGCAACGAGCACGCGCCTCACTCTCACCACTTCACTGAATTGCACCCGCCGTCCCCGACTCTTACTGCCAACAGCTCTCCCTGCTTCCGCTGGATCCGCACCTGCTGCCTTTGATCCTATGTGAACCCCTGCTTCTGCTGCGGTCCTGCCAGCAGGTTTCCCTGCTTCTGTTGCATCTGCTCCTGATACTGCTCCTGATGGGCTCTCCCCTGTGTCGGCCCCAATCTCTCCTGTGCCTGATTCTGTGCCTGATTCTGCTGCCTTTGATGCTGTGTGAACCTCTTCTCCTACTGGACTCCTGCCACCAGCTTTCCCCGCTTCTGCTGCATCTGCTCCTGAAGGGCTTTCCCCTGTGTCAACCCATGCCTCTCCTGTGTCAACCCATGCCTCTCCTGTGTCAACCCATGCCTCTCCTGTGCCTGATTCTGCACCTGACGGGTGTGATTCTGCGCCAACCCCTGCTTCCCCGTCTGCTGCTACTCGTTCTGTGTCTGCTGGAGATTCGTTTGCCGTCTCTCCCGCTTCCATCCCATCCTCCTGCTGCTGCTGCTGCTGCTGTTCCTCCTCCTGATGTTCCTGCTGTTGATGCTGCTCCTCCTGATGCTCCTCCTGCTGCTGCTCTGCCTGTATCTGTTCACTGCGTTTCCCCGTCTGCAGAACCCCATCACTCACGCTCCTATGCACGCACCCCCCTCCCCCCTTCCCCTCCGCCCGCCCCTCCCCCACATGCCCGCCGAAGCAGGGGGAGACGGGGGAGCGGACCCCCGCGGGGAGGGGAAACTGAAAGGCGGGGGAGGGGGGGTGGGCGGAAGGGGAAGGCGGAGCGGGAGGGGAAGAGGTGGCGAGGTGGAGGAGGAGAGGAGAATCCGTGGTGGGGGTTGGGAGCGAGAGGGCTCCACCGGTCCCACCCTGCTGCTCTGATCCCCCCCTGCTTCTGCTGCCACGCTGCTCCTGCTGTGCTTGACGCTTCTGCTGCGCTTGAGGCACCCCGAAAACGGGTAGCGCGGCAGCATCGCTCTCGTGTCTGTCACTCTCGTTTAAATCACTCTCTTTTGAAACACTCTCGTTTGAATCAATCTCGTTTGCGTCACTCACCAAGAGCACGTCTTGCCCCTCTCGCCCCTCTCGCCCCTCTCGCCCCTCTCGCCACTCTCCCCTCTCTCGCCCCACCCTCAACCCCCCTTCCCCCACCTCCCCCTCTCGACTTCCACTCTCCTCTTCCACTCGTAACACCTCTCCCTCCCCGCTTTCCACTCCTCGCCTCATTTCATCTCTTTCCTCTATTCCCTCTCCATCCACTTCTTCCTTCCCTCTCTCCACTTCCCCAATAACCCCAAGACCATGACTCCAACTGGCCATGCGCCATGCATTCTCCTCCCCCCTCTCCATTGCTCCTCCCTCCCTTGCTTCCCCTTTCCCCTCCCCCTCCCCAACAACCCCAATACCGTTGCTTAGACTAGCCATGCGCCATGCACTCCCCTCCGCGCTCGACCCCCCGATCCCCATTCCGTAACTGAGACTGCATCTGCGCCAAGACGCCACCCCTCGTCCCCCCTCCCCTTCCCCTTCTACTTCTCCTTCCCCCTCCCCCTGCCCGCTCCTCTCCTCCTCCCCAATAACCCCAATGCCGTTACTCAAACTAGCCATGCGCCATGCATTCCCCTCCCCGCCCCCCCTTGCTCCCCCATTCCCCTTCCCCTCCCCGCTCGTCCCCCCGATCCCCATGCCGTAGCTGAGACTGCATCTGCGCCAAGACGCCTCCCCGCTCCCCCCCTCCCCCTCCCCCTCCCCCTCCCCCTCCCCCTCCCCCTCCCCCTCCCCCTCCCCCTCCCCCTCCCCCTCCCCCTCCCCCTCCCCCTCCCCTTCCCCGAGCCACGTGCTGTAGTCTCCTCCCTCCTCCCTTCCGCCCGCGCCTCCCGCCTCTCCTCCTCCCCCCCGCGTGCCCGTCTCTATCTCCCCAACACCGTGACTCAGACTCGCCATGCGCCAAGCCATCTCCTCCTTCCCCGCGCTTACTCCCCCAACCCCCCGCGCGCTCGTCTCTATTTCCCCAATGCCGTGACTCAAACTCGCCATGCGCCAAGACGACTCCGCGCTCTCCCCCTTCCCTTTCCCCTTCCCCGCCCCCGCTCCCGCCCATCCTCCCCGCTCTGTGTCCCCCGCCCCGTCCCCAAGCCCTGCCGCGCCGCCCTCCCTTCCGCATCCGCCACGCGGCGACGGCAGCGCCACAGCTGCCGCCGCGGCCGTCAGATGCGCGATCCCGTCGCGCATGCTCTCCCCGCTCCCCGAGTACGCTATATCGCGAAAAGAGCCTACTATATCTGAGTCATTCCCCCCAGTCCCCCCAATCTCCTCAGTCCCCACCCACAGCTCCCCCAATCCCCCCGGTAAACCCGCTGCTCTCGCTGCTTCCCCAATCGGTTCCGCTCCGTCCCCCTGCCTGGCGAGTCCCCGCCACCCCGCAAGGCTGATAGCCGCAGTGCCCCGCGGGCTAGCTTGGCGGAGGCCGCCGCGCGAACCAGACGTCGCGCCGCCCTTGCGCGCGCTCTCAAGCGCAGCATCCCCTGCCCGCTCTGCCCGCGCTTTCCGCGCTGCCCGCGCTGCCCGTGCTTCCCTCGCTTCCATCGCTTCCCCCGCAACTTCCCCCCCACGTCCCGTTCCGCGCGCCACTCCCGCCCGACCAGCGCCCCGCCCCCGCGGGCTCTGTACCACGCGGAAGACGATGCGCGGACCTGCGTGCGCCGCGCTTCCCCGCTTGCCTCCGCCCTCGTCGTCCGACTCCTCCCCCTCTGCCCCTGATTCCGCTCCCCAGTGTTCGCCCTTCTGCGACGACGGCGGCGGCGACTGCTGCGACGACTCCTGAGATTGCTGCTGCGACGCGCCCGCGCCGCCCTTGACGCGTCGCGTGAAAGGAACGACCATCATTGGTTCTTTCCCGCTCAAACTCTTTCCTGAGGTTCCCGCCGCCGCGCCTGGATTCCGTCTAAAGCTTGCGCTGCGCGCCGCGGCCCGAGGGGATTTCGGCACGGCGGAAGAGTCATTCGCCGCAAGCCGCGCAGAGAGCGGCGCGTGTTTCGTCTCGACAGACGAGCATCGCACGACGCCGCCGTACAATTCCACGTCATCGCTGGCTGACGTGTCCTGTAGCCCTCGGGAAGACATGGAGGAGAGGGAAACGGGGATGACGGACGGCGCGGCGCCGCTAGACGCGCCGTCCAACGCGGCGGGAGATGCGGACGTAGGATCTCGGCGGCTGGAGAAAAGACGCGAAAGCGTCGGGCGCCGTCTGGGTGCTGGCGCCGCCGCCGTCGCCGTCGTGTCGCTCTGTTGCTGCCCTTTCGAGAGATTACTAACGTCAACTTCGCCGGGTTTCGCGTCACCGTCGCGCGGTTTGTCTTTTAGGAACGACCGGAAGTCGGAGAACGAGATGTTCCGCGCGTGCCCTCTCCGCCGCCCCCGCCCTTCCGCGCCATTTCCGCCAGCCCCGCCCGCCGGCGCGGCGCCACCAAATGCGCTGTCCGCATCTTGCGCGGCGCCTTCTTCGAGACTGAAGTCTGCCCAAAGTTCCTCCATGTCTATTGACGAGGTAGCTCTATGGCGGATCGCCGTCGCGTGCGGGCTGCGCACGGGGGTGAGCGCGGCAGGCCGCCAAGCGGCGGAAGCTCCGCTTCCGCCGCGGGGGGAAAGAAGCGCGGCGGAGCCATCGGGGGAAAACAGCGGGGAGGAGGAGCCGTCGGAGGAGAGGTTTGAGGGAGAAAGCACGCGGTCGCTCTCCCTTCCGCTGATAGGTTCCGCCCATCGTACCGCGAGTTGCGGGGACCTGGGGGAGAGTCGGCTATGCCTGGGGCTTTGCGCGGGGGCGGAATCCAAGGTCCGCGCACGGCGTTGCGGGCGGGGCCCGCCGGGGAAATCAATCGGCGCGCAACGGGAGCGCGGAGAGGGGAGGGTTTTTGGCCTCTCCAGAAAGCGAGGGAGGTCGGATGGCGGTATGGAGGGTGATACTATCGGGCTTAGCGAGTCTGCCGCGTTTGAGCCCATGAGGACGTGCTTTTAACGAAGGATACGCGATGCACTATGTTACACTAGAGGGGCAAAAGTATATTCTTGGGGGTTGCTGAATTGCGGAACATAAAAAAGTTCCTAGCAATTCAGCTCGTTGAGTAGAGACTATCTGTGGGACGGTTCGCTGTGCTGAAGGAAAACCGAAGCTTCTTTCATCGAGAATTATTGCGAACTGCAGGTATTGTATTGAGTTAGGTCCCTCCCTCACCTCACTTCACTTACTGGAGTGTGATAGTAGCGCACGTTCAGCCATGTTTCTAGTCAATGCACAGATTTTAGTCAGCGGTTTGCTGGGGTTTGTTGCATTCCAAAACGGTTAAAGCGACGGGCAACTTTTGGCAGCAAAATTGCACTCGATGTGACGACAATAGAATGAACAGAGTGCCTGAAGTGACGAAAAGCGGTGCTGTACAGACCAGATAGGCAAGTGATAATATAATATGTGCGTGCTTGTCTCCATGCTCATTGGTTGAACTGTGTTTAGACGCAAAGGCCAGGCTGGGGGTGGATTTTAGGAAGACGACAGCAACGTAGCTGAACGGTGCTCCAGTAGCCGCGCGAGAAGGCTCACTGAAGCTGAAGAGTTGAGGGTTTCGGTGTCTACTGCCCGTACAGAATGGGACCATTCCATTCGTTCAGTACAGTATTTTTATGGGACCATTCCATGAATCCATGTGTACAGTACATCAAGGGCAGCAGCATGGGGAGGCTCCCGGATATGAAGTTTGGACGGGCACGAAGCACAGCACAGGCTGGTACTTTCTGTGCAAAAGTCACATGCCAGCCCAGTGCGAAGGTGTGATGCGAACACATTACAGATATACAGCACGAACAACAAATCGCACTCACACTGAGTCAGGTTGTCCACCAGCCAACAGCAAACAGTGAACTGGGGACAGATTTCCTCGGCTATAAGACATCCGGCTGTACAATATACTAGGGCACCCACCATAATCGAGTGCTGTCTCACACTTCGAAGTTGATGTACACTATGACGAGGCAAATGCCACAAGCTGGAATGGTGATAATTATTACTTTTATTATGGATTAAGTTTGATACAAAGTTGTGGATATGAAGACAACTGAGCATTAGAGGAAGAGAAACGAGATGTAGGAAACAGGGAAAGACAGTAATGTAGGAACAAGGAAAGGGAGATAAGGAGATAAGAGCAGGAGAAGAAGAGAATGAGGAAAAGAAAGGTGGAAAGAGGGAAAGAAGAGGAAGAAACTAAAGGGAGGAAGCACCTAGAGACCAAGCACTAGGTTGGACCGGGGAGATAGTGGAGATGAAGAGGGGGGTGAGGCAAGGCTGCCCGCTCGCGCCATATCTCTTCCTGTGCTAGCTCGAGCCGTTGTGCCTGGAGATTACCGTAAGAAGAGAGGGCTGGGTATAAAGGAGGAAGGGGCGGCGGAGTTAGCATACGTTGGGTATGCAGACAACATGACGCTAATACTGAAAGGAGAGGAGCAACTGAGGTCAGCAGCGGAAGCGTTGGATATCAGAATCCCAACCACTAGACCATTGGGATAAAATGGTCTCTTAAGTAGCGGGTCAGTGCGCCCATAACCCCCCAGGCCAACATGCATGTAACCCTTCCCTATAATCAATCGGGGATCACCAGTGGACCTCTGACACCCCCTCGCACTGGGGTGCCCAAAGTGCACACACTGGGATTCGAACCCGAGACCTTCGCTCTGATACCATATCAGAATCCCAACCACTAGACCATTGGGATAAAAGGGCTTGTTAAGTAGCGGGTCACTGCGCCCATAACCCCCTAGGCCAACGTGCCTGTAACCCTTCCCTAGGATCAATCCGGAATCACCAGTGGACCTCTGACATTGGAATGGTTCGGCGAGTTGTCAGGCCTGCGGACGAACAACGATAAGTTGGTGGTCATGCCGATCGGAAGGAACAAAGGAAAGCAGTCGATGGAGAGAGTACCTTTTAAATAGGTGGAAGCGGGAGTGCCGGAGCGTCTGCTGGGCATCTGGGTCACGCCAGACGGAGAGGCGGGTCCATCCTGGGAGAAGGCCTGAGAGCGGGGGAAAGAGGAGCTGGCAAAGTGGGAGAGCCATCATCTTCTCATAGCGGCAAGAGTGATGGTGATCAACGCATACATAATGCCTATCTTCATCTTCCAGGCGCAGGTGTACCCTACGCCAGAGGAACTGTGGAAGTGGATTTAGAAAACGTGCGACAATTACGTCTCAAGCGGTCAAGCCACGGCGGAGAAATTGTTCGTGCTGTGGAGCGGAGAGATGGCTCGGCTTCCGCGGAAGGAGGGGTGTCAAAATGATGAACGAGAATGAATGAACTAGCAAAGAGTTGGGTACACGTACTAACCCTAATTGGGTTGTACCCCTTATGGGCTACCCCACTATAGCCTACACAATATAAGCACAATATAAGTTTGACACACCCCCATAGGCAAAGTGGGGGAGAACAAGTGGTTACAAGACCAGTCAAGAAAAGCAAAGCAAACTCAGGGTGGATCACAAAGTCACCACACAGTCCGAGCACAAGCAAAGGGCTGTTGGAAACAACAGTTGGAAGTTAGAAAACAAGAAAGAGAGTTGCACTAGCAAGTAGTTGAGTACATATAGCAAACCCTAGATTGGGCTGTACTCACTATTGAGTACCCCACTGCAGGCTAGACAAACATAATATTCTGACACACCCCCATAGCCAAAGTGGGGTGTAATCAGCACAACAAGCAAAGTAAAACAAAGACAAGCTCAGGGTGGATCACAATGTCACCACACATTCTGAGCACAAGTACAAGAAGTGACAGTTTATAGTTCACAGCAATAAGTAAAGCTAGAGGCTATCACAGGGGGCAAGTGAGGAGGAGGAGGCTGAACTGATAGGAAAGGAGAGAGGAGGCAATGGCTGAAGCTGCAGACACACGGGCAACAGGAGCGGCGCGTACTGTGGCTACCGAAGGCGCACCTCCGGACTACAGGAGTAACTGGCTCCGCGGCTAAGACGAGCGGCAGGAGCAACGGACCCACGGGCGACTGGCGGAGCGGCATCACTGGGCTACCGGAAGCGCACCTCCGGACTACTGGCACTGCTAGCAACACGACGGCTACCTCCCTTCAACCTCCCCCACTGTCGCACCCCCCTTTCACACACCCCCTGCTGCACCCCTAAGTTCACTCACACTCCACCCCCTAGCACCACTCCGTCGACTCACACTCACCCACCCCCCTCAGCGGCAGCTGCAGCAGTGGGAGACGGAGGAGGAGGAGAAGCAGGTGAGGCCGCACACCCGCCACCCCCTACTCGCCACCCCCAAACCCTAATACAGGGTAGGGCCATAGATGGCGGGTAGGGAGGTAAGGGGGGGGGGGGGGGGGGGGGGGGGGGCGCGACAGGGCCGGGGCAGGACAGGTGCAGGGCAGGGCCGCGACGAAGACAGGAGGGGCCGACGCGCGGCCCCCTTCAGTCGCCCCCCCCAGGGCGCCGCGACGGGCGACGGGAATTGGGGTCGCGCGGGCCCCCGTTGGCGCCGCGACCGGCGACGAAGGGGGGGGGGCGCGCGGGCCCCTGGTGGCACCGCGACGGGCGACGAAGGGGGGGGGCGCGCACGAGCCCCCCCGGGCGACGAAACCGCCGTGCGCCCCGAGGCGCGCGACGGGCAGGGCACCGTCGCGCGCCACGGGGCGCACGACGGGCAGGGCAGGGCGTCGCGCTGCCCCCAGGGCGGCGCGACGAGCAGAAAACTGCCGCGCGACTCGAGCGCGCGGCGGGAAGAAAAAAGGCCGCGCGCCATGGGCGCGCGGCAAACAGAAAGACAGTGCGCGCCCGAGGCGCGCGATAGGCAGTATAGCAGCGGAAGACAATGATGGGCCCATGCACAGGATCGACCCAGAAGGGTCGACCTGCTCTGATTCCATGTTGGAAACAACAGTTGGAAGTTAGAAAACAAGAAAGAGAGTTGCACTAGCAAGCAGCTGAGTACATATAGCAAACCCTAGATTGGGCTGTACTCACTATTGAGTACCCCACTGCAGGCTAGACAAACATAACATTCTGACAAGGGCCACAAGGCCAGTTCACATGCAGAGCTATATAAAAGAGAACAAACAATACAGTGATCATACCCTAGCAAGTATAGGCATGTAGGTATATATATACATCACAGTACAAGTAAAGTCAAGCAGTGAGCAAGTGAGGCAAAGTAAGCACAAGGCCTAACACAGTAGAGAAACGCTGATGATCACCAGGTGGAAGTGCCTTGGTGAATATATCAGCAGTGTTGGCCCTAGTGGCCACGTACGCAAGACGAAGCTGGCCATGCTGCTGCAACTCACGAGCAAGGAAGTATCGCAGAGCGATGTGCTTCGTTCTGTGCTCTAGTATGTGCTCCTGACACAAGACAATCATGGCTTTGTTGTCTACGTACAGAACTAGAGGCGAACGAGGCTGCTCTCCCAAGTCACTCAGCAAGTAGGTGAGCCAGCGTAGCTCCTGAGCAGCCATGGCCCCTGTGTAGATCTCAGCCTCACAACTAGAACTGAGAACCGAAGACGAGCGGGTAGACCGCCAGGAAACCGAGCCGGAACCGAGGCTGAAGGTGTAACCGTGTGACGACCACTGCGTAGCTGAGTCGTCAACCCAGGAAGCGTCTGCGTGACCAGTGAGGACAACTGGACCCCGTCCTCCAAGCACGAGCCCCATGCCTGACGTACTGCACAGGTAACGCAGTACCCTCTTTGCAGCATCCCAGTGCACCTTTCGGTGCCTACTGGGAGCCACGTAGCGAGCTAGGAGGCTGAGAGGGTACGCGAGGTCAGGTCGTGTGCACGTCATCAGGTACATGAGGCAACCCACAAGCTCTAGGTACGGACCACTCTACGGACTCGTCCCAAGGTGGAGCTGAGAGCGAGTGGCTGGTAGACAGAGGAGTGGGCTGTGGCGAGGAGAACTGGAAGCCAAAGCACTAAAGGACCTGGTGCACCATGTGTGA